TAAATTTAAAAATTGTTAAAATGGTAAATTTTAGGTTATGCACATTTTACATTCATCAAAATAAATAACTAAAATAAAAGCTGAACTACTGATATCCAGATATTGGCGTCAGCAGACAAGGTCATTACAATAACTATGATTAGTATGTTCAAGAAATCAAAGAAGGGGCAGGCTGAATGGTGCAGTTGGTTAAGAGCGCGAGTTCTGAGTAACAAGGCTGACAGTTTGACTCTCGCGTGGGATGGTGGGCTGCGTGCCACCCCCACCTCCAACCCCCACGCCCCTGGGCAACTAAGGTTGAAGGACAACAACTTGACTTGAAGCTGATGGGTCCTGGAAAAACACAATGAACTCCTTCCCCAACTCCCCAACACTGTTCCTTTCCCCAAACTCCCCAATAAAATCTTAAAGAAGGAGAAGGAGAAGGCGAAGGAGAAGAAGGAGAAGATTGGGGAAATGCCTGAAAGGGAAGTGTGTCATCTGTTGCATTTTTTTTTTTCTTGTTGCATTTTCAGGTTTCACATTTCTCCTTCCATTATGCAGATACGCCACTAGAGGTCACTGTGGAGTTTTGCTTCTTCACCACCTGTGCTTAATGTGTCCGTCCAACATTCATCCAGTGTCTACTCTGAGGACCTCACAGGTTTTGAGTACATTAAGCCTGAAACATCCCTAGAGGAAGAAATGACAAAACTGAAGCTGTCCTACTTTGGGCACTTCATGAGAAAGCAGGGTTCTTTGGAAAAGACAACAATGCTGGGGAAAACAGAAGGCAGCAGAAAAAGAGAAAGACCAAGTATGAGATGGGTTGAGTCCATATAAGAAGCCACAGGCATGAGTCTACAGGAGCTGATCAAGAGTTGTGGACATTGTGGACATCACTCATCATGGTGTCGCCAAGAGTCAGAGCCAACTCAATGGCAGTTAACCACAGGAACAATCAGGCCAGGTAGTGTCAACATGTCTGCCTGAAGGAAGCTCTAAACTCATATGTGACCCAAGGTCAGGGCCTGCTACCCATGTTACTACAACCTGACTAGTCCTTCCAGGTGACAAGAGCGAAGTACCCATTCCTTCCCTGTGACCTCACGTTCATGTAGGTGACTACCTATGTCATCTGGTCACCAACACTGATGACAATTTACTGACTGCCCCTCAGCCCCTGTAGGGTATTCTGCCTGATGCTGAAAATAGAACAAGGGAGACTAGGACCTTTAAACACAAGGAGAAGGATCACGCACGACAACAAAGGAACTAGTGTGTGTAAGTGCTGTAAGAGTTCCAAGAATGAGTCATGAAGTGATTCTCCAGGAAGGCAAGAGGTCACATGAAGGAAAGTGTTCTCAGAGGACAATCAGTCCAGGATGAAGTCCAGGATGAAGAGATGAAAGCTGGATTTTAGGCTAATTTTTTTTCTTTTCCCCACCATACTGGGGTAGCCTGAGGCTAAGATATGACATAATATATATTTTATATATATATATATAATATATATAATATATATATATAAAATATATATATATTTATATATTGGGCAGTTCCCAAGACTGCCTAAGAGAAGTTGCTTTCCTCTACATTACAATATTCATTTGTCATTGATTGACTTGACAAATATCTATTGTCAACTGTGCCCCAGGTGGGACAAGCCCACTTAGAACTTATAGTCCAGTGGGGAGACACAAAGATGGTTACAATGCAGTGTGACAAGTCTTTTTTTTTTTTTGAAGATTTTTATTGGGGAATTGGGGGGATGGGAACAGTGCTAGGGAATCGGGGGAAGGGGAACAGACAAGTTGCTGTCGTTTTGTTCTTCAGTCTAGTTGTGGAGGACATTGTTTCAGTGGCCCAAGTTGGCACCATCATTGCGCTCTTCCCGGGCGAGGCAGATCAGTCGCTGGCTTCTGGACGGCCGCTCACTGTGGCTGCTGGCCACTCACGCTGGCTGCTGGCTACACACGGTAGCCCATGGCAACCCACTGCAGCAGGGGCTGAGCCGGCGACTCATGGCAGCCCAGCTCCAGGTTGAGCTGTTGTTCAGCATCTTAGCTGTAGAGGGCAGTGTCACTGGCCCTCATATGTGGGATCCGAACCGGGGCCCTCTGGTGTCCCAAGCCAGTTCTTAACCAACGTGCCACTCGGCTGGCCCGTGACAAGTCTTATAATAAGGAAAGAACAGGGTACAACGTGAGTACAGAGCAGGCATCCCTGACGAAGACTTACAAAGTCAGGGAAGTCTTCCTTGAGAAAGTGCTGTTTTATTGAGACCCTAAGCAGAATGGAAGTAAGCCATGTAAGACGAGAATAAGTGTGTTTCGGGCAGAGATAACACAGTCCAGAGCAGGGAAAATAGTCAAAAAAGTATCAAACAGGGTTCTATTTTTGTATATGCACTTTTAGATCTTGCTCCTTTCCATTTACTTGTTTTGTTCCGAGCTTCTATATCATTAACTATTCTTGAAAGCATGATTGTTTACAGTTGCCTAATAGTCCATTGGGAGCGTAGTAGTTAATTTATTGACCCATTTCTAAGGGAAACAGCACTTTTAAGGCTCATGTTAATAATTGCTCCCCCCTTATCATCATAAAATCATGTGAAATCATTCTTTATTAATCATATTAATAGCCACAAAATCTCCTTCATTTGGCTGTCTGTTGAGAACAATTCTGCAGCCCAACCTGATACCTACCCACAGCAATGACTGGATTTAAGCAAGGTATTGGTTTACAGAGTATTCGTTAAATTTAACTCTAAATTTTGCTGCAATTGTTTTGAATGAATTATTAGGGCCTTCAGAGGGGCTCCAGGATTCGAAGGCTTTAAGATTTTTGCACCATCCCTCAGAGTCCCCCCAGTGTCTCTCAGGCTTACTCTCCCCCAAGTCTGCATCTAAGCTCCCATCTCCCCTCCATCTCAGGACCCCCCTCTCGGGGATGTTAGCTAATATGTATCTCCATCTTTCCCCCAGTAAATGATATTTTTTTCCCTTTGTGGCTCAATTTCCTAAAGTTGAGAACATCACTTCATAAACTTTTCTTTTAAACCATATTTTTGGGTAAAAATTTAAATATGATATATTTGACAAATTGCTGACTTAGCAAATTGCTTTTTCTGGGTCAAGCAGAAAGGACTTTCACAAACAATTCTTAAAAGAAGTAAGACAATTTAGGTGGAATACCCAATCATCTTTTGAGCTGTTTCACATTTAATTCATATTGTTTTTGTTCTATCTCCCTTTAAAATTGCCATGCCCCTTATTTTTATCCCACTTCACAACAAGGGTTTTGGTTGGTCTGTTTTTGTTTTTGAGCGTTCGTATTTGTTGTCTTAGCATTCACTTAGGCTTGCTCCATTAGGCACATTTTAGAGAGAGACAGTTTACCATTTCTACAGCTGTGTGGGCAGCTGTTCAATTCAAACTCTACTTTGACTTGGAGATTTCTTGCGTCCCGTGTATTCTTACATTGCTGTATGACTTGTCATGAGTTTGAGAGTTTTTTCAAACCTCAGAACACTCAAATAGTCATTAAATGTCTCAAATATATTTATTTCACATGTAAGAAGTCACTTTCATCCCGTGCCCAAGAATCTCCACATTAAAAATGAAAGGTGGGCCGGCCGAGTGGCGTGTTGGTTAGGAGTTGGCTTGGGACGCCTGCTCTGAGCAGCAGGGCACCGGTTCGGATCCCACATGAGGGCCAATGATGCTGCCCTCTCTACAGCTAAGATGATGAACAACAGCTCAACCTGGAGCTGGGCTGCCGTGAGTTGCCAGCGATGGCATAGGCTGTAGTGGGGCTGGCTGGCAGCCGGCGTGAGCTTTTGTGAGCTGCCGTGAGCCATTGTGAGTGGCTGTCCAGAGGCCGGCAACTGATCTGCCTCACCCGGGAAGAGTGCAATGATAATACTAACATGGGCCAGTGAAGCGATGTCCTCCACAACTAGACTGAAGAACAAAAGAACAGCAACTTGTCTGTTCCCCTTCCCCAATTCCCCAACTCCCCAACACTGTTCCCCTCCCCCAATTCCCCAATTAAAAAAAAAAATCTTAAAAAAACCCGAAAGTTTTCTAACTTCATAACAGCCACCACCACCTGGCTCACATCCTGGCCCCAGCCATTCCCAGTCTAATTCTTGTTTGTCCTATTGGGCTGCTCCTGACTGATAGTCGCGGGAGCCTCACAGGGATGTCCAAGAGGGGACTCAACCTGAAACAGAGACCAGGTTCTTGTCTTCGCACAAGAAAGAATTCAGTGAGACAGATGTAAGAAAGCACAGGAAGCTTATTGAAATGAAAGTACATACTTAAGAGGGAAGTGTGGGCAAACACAGAGATCGAGTCACACTGACAAGTCCTGACCAGGGGTATTTGTACCTCCCAGGGGCAGGTTTTGGTAACAACCCACTGACAAGGCTCTTCAGTTGCCTCCTGGTAGGTGGTAGCCTCAGCTTCCTGCTCTCTCTTCCTTATTTGGCTCCTCTGGAACTGTCATGGCATCAGATGCATGCTGGGAGTCGTAGTAACCGAAATGTAAATGAGATTATAATAACATTATAATTATCTAAAGGTCAGGTCCTGGTCAAGGGGATAAGACCTGCTGGGTGAAACTGGTTCTTGGTCTGCTCCGTTGCAGGAGCCCAATAGAGTCACCTGCCACTTGTGTGATTATTGAGGAGCCTCAGTTGTCTTTTGGGAGGGGGTTTTCTGGGCTACCTATCCTGCCACACTGCTATCTTGCAATGCCTACTTAATGTATGCCAAGTAAATTTAACAAATTTAACACGTAGCAGCCAGTTCCTCGAAGTGAAGATTTTACTTCACACTTTAATGATCCCAGTTAAGCAGATATCCATATATCTTTAATGACAGGCGTTTAACAGCGTTGCATAATTTCAAATGCCACCCAGGCTTATCAACTGATGACGGCCTCGGGAAGGTGGGACTGAAAGATAACGGGGTGCGGGCTGGGGCCACAGACTGCCACTGTCAGTCCCCCCTGAGTCTCTTCTTGCACTGACTTTTGTGGGCCAGCTCATGATCTCAGGATGTACGAAAAAATAATAATTGGATCACTATTGTTAGGTAAGTGGAATTTTTCTTTTAGCCTGATGCTTTTATATTGGCTATGAGATTATAGATTAAAATATAAATTACCCCACTTTAATTCTACCGTACTTAAATGAATACATAAATGAGTAGTATATCAGATCCCAGTCTGCTAGATGGATTTTATTGGGACTCAGCTGGCAAGGTGGAGGAAATGGCACCAGAGAGTCAGCCATTGTGGCCAGATCACAGTTTTCCAGTATGAGGAGCATCCTTTAATTCTAAGCCTAGCTAGAATGAAAAAAAAAATTCAAATAGTATGAGAACTATTCTGGTGTGAATAAATGTGTTGCTTTGTTTGTGTATTAATGAGGTTAACATCTAAATTAAAGAGTTGTTAATGAGGGTGATGGTGGATAACAGTCCTCGGGTTTTAAAAGGTTTTCCAAAAATTTATAATTTCCTCCTTCTCCCGTCGGAAAGGTACAAACCACAAGCATGAACTCTGAAACCACAGGGGACATGTTTCTCTCTCTGTGGGCCCATTCCTGAGGTGTGAGGCAGGAAAAAGACAAAAACAACTTTGTTGGCTTAGGTGTTATGTGGTTTGGGGATCGGAATCTAATTCACTAAAGTAAAGAAATAATGTAGGGGTATTCTTAGATTGTATTAAACTACCATTATTTTGGGACTCTTCTTGGTAAACGTCTTCTCAAAATGCAGTGTTTATGTGTTAGAAATGCTAGTGCCCAGTACATAAATAAGGAGAGGCAGTCATTTGAAATATGTTTAGCCCATCACACGTTGCTCTAACTCAAGTCAGAGCAAGTATCAGGGATCTCCTGGGCACGCTGTAGGAGACAGGGAAGAGATCCAGCATTTGCTAAAGTACATTTGGGGATAAAATAGTGTAATAGTTAATGGCGCTGGCATGAGAGACAGAGAAAACTGGGTTCAAATCTGGTTCCGCCTCTGAAAACCTGGGCAACAACCAAGTCAAATTACTTACCTCCCTTTGCCTCAACCTCTTCATCTATAAAAGGTAGCCAGTGTTGGTACCTGCCTCGTAGTAATCACATGAGGACTACACAAAATAATTAATGGGATGTGCATACTCCAGTGCCCAGCACACAGTAAAGAACTAAATTGATACTTAGCTGATAATGGTAATAATTATAGCCTAGGGAACAAGCCTGGGTATTGTGATGGTGATTTCTGAAAGGTAGGCAAAGGGGAAATTACAAGAAAACAGAGGACTAACTAACAAAGCTACTCTAAATTTTTTTAAGTAGCAAACTATGAAGACAACTTGAAGAAGATAAAAAGACTGAAGAGTATATGGTGTTCTATTTAAATATACTCAAATATTGGTAGAGTTTTACACATCAGAAGAGGTATCCTTTGTGTTGTCTCAGAGGACAAAGTGGGATTATTCAATCAAAGTAGACACATTACCTTTTGGGGGAGGGACACAAATAGCTGGAGATACTTTGTGCATCTTCGAGCTGCCAAAAATTTGGAAAGGATTCCTGGAAAAGAAATAAATTTTATCTGCTTAAGTAGTGTTTACAACCAGATGAAGGCCTGAAATGACACTTCATGGATAGGTCATCAAGACTAGGACGCTAAAGGCTCCCTTGGCATTTGATGGCCAGTGCTGTCCTCATCTTTGCATCTTCCAGAGAAACTCTCTTGATGTGGCTACTTTATAGAATCATACAGAGGTGTGGGAACAGGATTCCCGGCCTTTGCTCCTTCGTTTAAGAGGGGAACCTGGAAAGTGTGAGGAAGGGTCAACATCATTGGATTGTTTTTGCTTTCTCCAGTCATCTTAAGGCTAAAGCAAGCAATATTTCCAATTTCCCGTGTCATCTGCCACGTGGAAAGGAAGTTTTTTGTAAATAATTTGATTCCCAGTCATTCACTCCTTTGTGCATTCCATAACTCTGTCAGGTACTAAACCCCGAGGCCAGAGCAGAAAGGCCGGTGAGCTCCCACGGAGGGTGCATGCAGTGTGTGCAGGCGGACAGTGGGAGGGGAAACACACATTAAACAGAACAAGGAAATTATTAAAATAACAAACAGTGAAAAACAGGGCAAAGAAAATCAAACCAGATAAAGTGATAAACGTATCGCAGAAGCTGTTTTTGAAAAGGGTAGCAGGAATTTTTTTTCTAGTAAGTGTCATTTATGCTGAAGGCTAAACACGAGAAGAAGCCAACTTTACAAAACCTGGGGAAAGGGCACTGAAGGTGGAGGGAAAAACAGCGCAAAAGTTCTGAAACAGGAGAGAACTGAGTGCGTTCAAGGAAAAGACAAAGCTTTTATCTGAAAACTAGATTCCGATGCTAAGAATTTGAGAATACAACATTATATCACTTCAACTAGGAAATTATGTCATAACCCAGGACCCTCTAAAGTTTCCCGATTTTACTTCTAAACATCATGCAAAATTTGCATTCTAGGTCATAATATATTGATTTAATTGGAATATCCAAAAGGACAGGTATTAGCATGCCTGTTTTATCCCCAGAATCTAGCCCAGCTCTTGACTCATAGTAAGATATTGGTTGAATCAACAAGTGAGGAAGAGAGGAATGGAGGGAAGGAGAGAGGGAGGAGAAGGGAAAAAAAAATGTTTTCATTTGTTTACACAAAATGAGAGCTCGGTGTAGGTGGGCCGTAATTGCCTGTGCATCTTAACTGCATAGTCCTGCAGGTACGCCAGTTTGAAAAGCACATGCTTAGAATGACCTAAAGAAGCAAGGTATTTCCTTTGTCTTCAGTGATCCAACAAGAGAGCCTTTCAGTCCATTTAATTGTTACAGGAAAGAGCTCTGAGTCGGGTTTCAGGGACCACAAGACTATGTATATTTTTTAAAAGTAAAACTGGCGTCTTCATTTCTGTATCACATACATTACTAGGCAAACAGTGGGCAGTCAATAAATAATAGTTGCAAAAATTGCAAATAACCAGAATTTTGCTGCTGAGTAGTTTAACCGTGCAAAATCAATTAGACCCCTGAGCCTCAGTTTCCTCGTGCCTATTAAATAAAGCACAGAATAGATGGTATCTAAAATGCCTTTCATCTCTAAACTTCAGTGAGCCCTCAAAGGTCAGCCTCAGATGAACTAGAGACTAGTTCTCAAACCCATAAATCTCTTCAGCTTGGTGTGAAATTGGGTTTTTAGAAAGAAATGGACACTCCACTATGAATTCTTTTGAAGAAAGAGTCCTAAGAGAGGGAAGAGAATGGACAATATCTCAAAATTAATTTACACGGATTCTAAATTGCAAAATTGAATTTAACATCCTTGTGATAAATTCATTTCTACTTTGATTTCTAGAGGATTATTGAAAGCATCTATGAACCAATTTGGGAAGCACATTTTAAATAATTTCTCCAACTTGTCTTTATAGGTTGTATTTCTATATCATCTGTCTCCCCCACCACTCCTAACGGAGCTACTACTCAAGTCACCACTACTCAAAAAAGTAAGTTACTAACAAAAGCAAGTGGGTAATAGATTTCCAGCCATTATTATCATATCCATATATTTAATAAGTATCTATGTGTGTGGCTTTCTGTGATAAATGAACTAAATTAAAACTAAAGCAAAAATACTGAAAAGAAACATCCCAGGGTTATCTCTGGGTATGGGGATTGTGGGTAATTTTTTCTCTGCTTTTTAATACTTTCTACATTTTCTGCAAAGACAATCATAACCTGCGATCAGCAAAAGTTTAAACATTTTTTTACAGGTACACTGAACAAACACAATCTCTGTTTTCTAAGAGGTCTTTATCATTAAGCAATGCCAACAAACATTAACGGAGGAAAACCAAGACACCAGCATTCATTTCATCATGGTTTATTGATACTTGAACAAACTTGGTTATGGTGTATGCTGCAAGTGGTTTCAGAGATCTGGCAGAGACAAGAGCAACAATTGACAGTGAACATATGAAGTCACCCATCATGAATAATTATTCAATTTTCTGTTTTTTATATGGCTTGTGTCTGTTATGAGACCCCATGTCCCCAACAACCTTGCTCCAGTAGCTAACAGTATAGGGAAAGTGCCCCATACAGGACCTGAGGACAGTTCATTCATGGAGAGACTTCTCTCACATGGTGGGAGTCAGGCAGGGTTTTGGCTCATCCCCATCTCAGGAAAGTAAATGACTTCAAACACTGTAAGGCCCAAATCGTAAAACATGATAGTTCTTCTCTCAGTCCCCTAGCACCATACCAAACCCCAGTGCAAAGTGCAGGAGGACAGTTCTGACCCTCAGCGCTTCAAGAGCCTGGTCTCCCTTGATATTTTAAATCAGACTCCATTTCAGCAAAAGGCTTTGAAGGTCCAAAGTGAAGAGCCTTTGTCTTCAAAGTGTGATAAATAAGCCTCCAGATGTGTTCTTAAGTTGAATCAATTAATGAGGTAGAACGAGAGAAACAAACTCGAGCTCGACTCAGGGAAGAGAAGCTGAGATCCTTGGTAGTAAATGGAGAAGAAGTCAGAGGTTCTCTGCTGAGGTATGTTTCATCCGATACAATTTGAAAATGAGACCTTAGAGGCTACATTAGGCCTTTGGTTTTAATGTCCTGTGAACTTCACTTTTTAATGTTCCTCAGAAGTGTCCATACAGGTAGCGGTTAGAGATCGTCCACTTTTACCTCTTTACCTGTGGCCTTAGGTACTGGCAATCCAGTGATACAGGAAACTCACCCAAGTGATAGAGAAAATGAGTTCTTTACTTTGCGAAAACCACACATGCAGAGAGGAGAACGCTGGACTTCTATTGTATTTATTTAATAGGGTCATGGAGTATATTTTAAGTTTCCACATATTCATTAAAGAGAAATGAAAATTTGATGATATTAATAGCTCTTATACTGAATACTTTCATGCTAAACCCTTTACAAAGGTTATTTCATTTCATCCTTACTACAACCATATGGGATGGGTATTCTCCCCATCGCACAAATGAAAAAAACAGAGGTTCAGAACGTTATAAAAACTTGTCTAAAGTCATATGGTCCATGAGCAGGGAAGCTGGAGACAAACCCAGGAGGTCTGACGGTAGCACCTTCATCCTTAACCAACACATGGTAGGTACTATTTTCCCCAAGAGAGGACAATTTGTTTCCTACTCGCTCTCTAGAAATCAACACTGTGGACATTTAGGTGCAAATCTTCCATATATTTTTCTAGATATGTTTATAAATACATACTTTAAAAATTCCTCTATGTACTATTCTGAAACCTGCCTCTTCCTCACTCAAAGAGCATTTTTTTTCCATATTAGTAAACACACTTATAAAACATTTTAATGGCTTCACAATATTACATCGAATGCATAAACCATGGTTGACTTAACCTAAGCCATGCTTTTCATTATTTAGGTTGTTTCTACTTTATATTCTTTTAAACAATGGTATTATGGGCATCCTTGTAACTCATCTTTCCATGTTGGAGTATGCACATTTTAAAAGTTTTGATGAATATTGCCAAATTTCCATCCCCAAAAGTCATACCCATCACTAAATGTTGAGAGTATTTGCTTCAGTCCCTTCTTGCCATTTGGTGTGCCAGAGGTCTTATTATCTTTGCCGACAGGATAAGTGAACAATATGGTCTATTTATGTTTCAATTTTTATTTCCTTGGTTACTAGTGAAAATTAACCATTTCTCTATATTATTTTTTGAAAAGCTTTACTAAGATGTAATTTGCATGCAATAGAATTCACTCATTTCAAGTGGAGGCTTCAGGGCTGGGATTAAGGGGAGGCAAGTGAGGTATTCACCTAAGGCCCCCAATTTAAGAGGCAGTGCAAACCCTAGTTACCACGATAATATTTTAATGCAATTTTTTTAAGTCTCAAAATTAATTCCAAAACATTGATGGTGAACAAAACATGAAAATTTTAAATATAGTCAGGATCCATCCAAGTCCGGATTCGGGTCACATGAGTGAGGTGAGGTGAGCCAGTGGCAGGTCAGACTCTGGCTCCCAGCGGGTAGCCACAGGAAAGAAAGCCATTTTACTCCACTCAGCAACTGACTTGCGTTGCAGCTAGGGTTCGGTGTTTTTAAAGACTCATCCCTGCTTCTGCTCATCCCTACTTCTAGGGGGTAGCCTTTTGCAGGGCTTAACTGACAACTCGCCGTGCTTACCACGGCTTCCCCTCTTCAGTGGGCCCTGAACCCCGTTTATCGTTCCTCCAGCTCTGAGAAACCATCAGAATCTCGGACAAGCGTCACAGCGTCTCAGGCCCCATTTGCAAGTAGACAAATGTCCCCAGTGGAAAGCTGGTGGCCAATATCAAGCTCGCCTCTCCAAACGTCCCTTCCCCACCTGAAGCGCCTACTGCCCTGGGAACCTCTGACACCCTACCGGGATGCGTGCGATTGGCTCAGCGTTTCTGCTTGTTCTGAGCAGAAGGCTTGGTCTGCAGCAAGCCAGAAACCTTTATTTCTTCAGATGCATTTCAGGATCCTTTGGGAAAGTTACTCCTTACACAACATCAAAATATTCCCAGTGTTACTTGGTTAGAATAGAATTAAATGAATAGATTAGCTCACAGAAAATAAAGCATTTTATGAGTGACTCTTTAAATAGGAAATATTTCATGTTTTCCCACTGAGTCATATCTTTTTTGATGTCCTCCAAAGAGTTTGAAACAAATCCTGAAAAAAATTACTGAAGAAAACTTCAGATAAATTTTATATGTTTTCTTTTTCAAGAGGTATTTTACATATCTTGTTGTCTTAATTAAAACATATTTCATTACATTTGAAAACTGTTTATTGATGGCCTGAGTCTATTGCTTTGTGGATATTCATTTTGTAAGTAACATCATTAACCTTTATTTTGATATAACAGTAATTTTTTTTTTAGCTGAGTCATCCTGCCACCTATTGGCAGTTCAGTGGCAGCTCAGCTCAGGCCGGGAATCGAACTGGTGACCCTGTTGCTCACAGCTCACACTCTTGAGCTGCTTTCAGTAAATAGTGCTTATCCTGTTAAGAAATTTCCCTGTAGTCCTAAACTAAGAAATTTAATCAAGAAAAAATATTGAATTCTATAAAATACCTTTTCTGCATCACAGTTGAAACTTTAAATGTTGACTGCTCCAGCTTAATGGTATAATAATAAATTTCCTGACAGTTTTCATAAGAGAGAAAATATCTGTTATACCAACTAGAACAGGAGCCCCTTTTAAACTTTTGTTTTCTTTTTCTTAGGAATGTCTGTTCATCTTATTAGTTTCCCTTGACATCATTGTATTTTTATTCTTTAATATGCTGAAGTGATCATTTATATCAGTGAATATGAATTATCATATTGCACTGCTTGTATCCTGGTATAAATCACTTGGCTATTGTAGAATATTCTTGTAATATTGTGCTGCATTTTCTATTTGTTTTAAGATCTTTGTATCTATCTTTGTTATACATAAAATTTTTCTGCAATTTATTTGTGTATACACATGTGCTTTTGCTATCAGAAAGCTAAATAAATTTTTGCCCATTTTATTAAAAAATAATTTATTAATCACTGCTATATGCCACTTTCAAGCATGAAAGATATTTAGAAAAAGTAGTCATCTATTCCAATTATAGTAGAAGAGGTTTGTTTGTTTTTTAACAAGAATAGGTAAAAACTACTTTTCTCCACATATACACTAATGTGATAAATTATACTATCATATTTCTTTTCTTTAAATTTTTATTTTGAAAAATTTTGAACATATGAAAAAAATCAGACTAAAATGAGTATTCAAATATTATCTTCCTTGATTTAATAATTGTGAATAATTTTCCATAGTTGCTTTACTTTTAACCTTATAAGTGTGTAAATATATATACTTTTCTTGTATCATTTGAAAGTAAACTACAGACATTGTGACACTTTACCCCTATACATTTTAGCATGCATCGCCTAAGAAAACAGACATTCTCTTAAATAACTACAATTATTTTAACATCTAACAATATTAATAATAATCTCACAAGAATAATATCTAGCAATATTCATAATAATCTCATATAATAAAAATGATAAAAATGTGCCTCTTGGTATAGATCTTAAAAACATCTTGTCAGACAATTCAGTAATGTCATGTTGAAATGAGTGTAAGGGAATGTGGGAACCCATGATGAACTTTATCCTCATTGATTTATTGCACAAAAGAAGTATACATCAATCACTTGCGATTGCAAGGTAGATGTTTCTCAGATCCTCTCAGTGTTTCCTTTTTGCTTCCTGGATCTATCACAATTGGAGAAAACTGTTAAATTTCCTCACTGCTCTTGTAGTTCTGCTAATTTCTTGTTTTGCTTTATATTTCCTGTTGTTATATTATTGGGATATAATAGTCCATATTTACCTAAGAATCAGAGTGTAACATATCCTTTAACAGTATAAATTAATCTTCTATGTCCTTTTTAATGTCTTTGCCTTTAATTCTACTTTGTATAGTATTAAAA